CTGTAGAGGGAAGTAATTTTTCGATGGCTAACCTGTGAGCCAATATGATATCAATTATATATCCCACAAGGGTTTTTAGCCAGGAGTGAGGTTGGGATCGAACGACCACCCCAATATTTTAAAAATCTAACCTGTGAGCCAATATGATATAAATTATATATCCTACAAGGGTTTTTAGCCAGGAGTGAGGTTGGGATCGATCGACCACCCCAATATTTTAAAAATCTATCTTGTAACTTTTTTCTTGACTATCATGCAAATCATTAAATTCTAGAAGAAAAAGGTCCACATTTTTTAAAGACCTCTCACCCCACTCTGTACTGCTGTTACTCCCCCTATCTTACATAATTCGTTTTCCAGCAAATAAATGGTGTGTAATTTGTAGATAAATAACAAAGCTCAAATGTAGATTTTTGTACAATATTTCAGATATCTATATATATGTGTGTGTGTGTGTAAGCTTTGGATATCGGAATGGCAAGGATACTTATACTTCATAAGTTTATACCATTTTTAATTTCTTGAAAACACTGGGGCCGGTAAAGCCACTGAATCAATATTACAAAGCAATCTTAGTTTGTTATTAGATATTGCTCCCCAACTTAATCATACCAACAGCCGAGCCAACAAATTTAATGAAATCATCTGTTGACAATTATTAGATATAAGCCTAATCGGTTTAGTATCAGTCTATTAGACCACGACAAATTCAATTTCTTCTAAGCCTAACTTATTAATCAAATGTCATTTAAAGTAAAACGTACGCAACACATTAAAAGTCCTGTGCACTGAACAGAAAAACGAACATTAGCTGATCATCTTATGATTTCATAACACAGTACTCACAAAGGCTTCACGACGAAATTATGAATTAATGTATCCAATCACAAATCTTTCTTTTGAAACAACATGGCTCATTTGGTTGGGTTTACCTGTTAATCTAATACAAGGAGAGACACGCAAAACATTTGCAGTCAAATTAATATCTTTATTGCAATAGTACTTCTTTAAATACAGGATTTCTAGAATAATATCAAAGAATTCTAATCGCAGACACCGAAATCTAAGACTACTTATCTTAGACCTAACACTAGTTAAGCCTTTATTAAGTACGAACTATATTCGATCAAGAGATAAATTAACACTGTAGCTTGTGCACGTTCTTTGCTTTAGTTTACTTAGGACTAAACTTTAATTCATTTAATACTATCAACAGATAAACTTATGATATTATTCTACGACCTAAAGTCAGACCTTTATAAAAACTTTGATAAGCTTTTAATATGTTGTTGTACAAAATTTCTACTAAAGTATATTTACATCCGTTGAAGTGCGCGCGCATTTTCAGGATAGAAAAAAAAATGAGTATTATTATTATTATAATAGATTGACCATTTGGGTTCACGTTGATTTTTTTCACAGTGATATTTTTCATTAGCATGGTGTTTGTCAACAACTACACAACATAGGGCACGAAAAAAGTGCCTATTTATCTGTAAGCGCAACTAGTCGCGTTTATTTATTCTCGTTAGTCATGTTCAATATTAAGTTGAGGGAGTTGCTACATTCCAATATCTTTAGTATAATTTTGATATACTACTTATCCATAAAACCTCAAGAGAATAGACCGGAAGAACGGGAAAACTCTTCAAAAGTACCAATTTACTGCCAGCAGTTTACAATACCGCGTATACCAAAGCTCCACACCAGATGGCAGGTTTCGATGAATGTGTTGCCAAGCTGGCTTTGTTCAGTGCGAGACATTCCCACGACAGGCAAGAGGAGTGCACGCTGAAAGGCGGTTACAAAGATGGTGATGGGGGGAGGGGGTGAAGAAAACGAATGAGGACAAACTCTGAGAACTAAAGGTGAGAAATGAAATATCCGCTAAACGACAAATATCAGCTAATTTCTGCTTATACAACTGATCACTGACAAGAAAAAAAACTATTCAGCTGGGTAAGATATAACAAATATTATAAAGAACCTCGATAACTTATTGTTGCTTTTATATATATATATAATAACAGTATAGAACACCCTATATCCAAATCATATTTTCGTATTTTCCAAATGTATTATGAAACATGTTAACTCAATGCAGTTGACAGAAGGTACAATGGCCGGCTGACAGTTTCGTTAATGCTGTTTTGAATTGGCTCATCATCAGATCGATGACATAGTTACCGTTCAATACGCTTTTAATCAAGTAGCGCACCCAAGACACTAGAGTGTTTTTCCCACATGTATTACAAAAAACAAACGTTTCGTAATTTACTATTTGTATTCTCTTTACATTAACTATGCGCACAAATACAGTATACCATTGTGGTTCAACGCCTTTGAAGTTCTAAATTTGGACTGTTAATATTTTTAAAGCATCTAAAAACAATATACACAAAAAGGAAAATACTGTACACTGAAAGTCCTAAATATCAGGAATAGAATACCGAGAAGTAAATATTACTTCCCACAAAATTAATGTTACGTAGCCCTTTGAGCCACCTCTAACTACTGAATAGAAAAAATGAACATTCTAACAAGGAAATGCGAATATTCTTGCTACAAGTAAGTACTACAACGCCTGTTGATTAATAATTGAAAACTTTCATATTTGTTTGTAGTTAAACACAAAGCTACACAATGGGCTATCTGTGCTATGCCCACCACGAGTATCGAAACGCGGTTTCTAGCGTTGTAAGTCCGCAGACATTCCGCTGTGCCACTGGGTGGGGGGGGGGGCTTTTCATTACCACCAGAGCTATTAACAATTACGTCAAAGCAAACAAAAATAATCACAACTCGGTGAAATTAAACCCCACACTTTTTAATTCACTTATCCTGTTTGGAACTCAAACTTGAAACTTACAATAGAACATTAAGTAGATCATTCATTATCCGAAAAAATTTTGATTATCTAGTACATAAAGCTACAATACATATGGATCATACGCATAAGTAATCTTAAACATTACTGTATAAAGTTATAAACGTACTAGTAACATCGCGCTTATGTACTTTTTACAGTGTGCTCTATTCATTAGGCGTAACGTGCTCATCAGCTTAAGCACGGTTGAGTGTATTGAGGTTGATTTTTTTAAATGTAAAATACTGCCAGACTTCACGTTTCAAGAAACATAACTTTACTTTTAAAATACTCAATGACGTTGTTAACTCTAGCACAGATATAAAAACCTTTTATTTTATTATTAAACACAAGTGTGTAACCTTTAAATAATCTTTTTTTGTGAGTGAATCTTAACAAAACGTGTCTAGAGTGGAATACACCACCCGATTCATCTTTAAATACATTTCATTAAAAACAAAACCCTTAAAGGCAACACAACACAATGAATACAAACACAATGGTTTCCTCTTTAAGAAATAAATAACAGATCCTGGTGCACCGCACAATGGTCTACAGAGTCTACGAGGCGGTGTATATGTCAAGCAGGTCGAATTTCTTAGAAATCGAAGCTTATAATGCTGCTACACAGTTGCTGATAAATGCAAGCAACTATCCTATGTGTGCTTGTGGGTAAATTTTTTCATACTTGGAAAATACTTGGTTGCATTTCATTAAAGCCACATCTGAACCAAAATGTTACTACTGATCAGAAGTAGTATATGAATTGAAAAAAATCACTCCGTAGAATGTCGATTTACTGTACATCCGACACTGTTTATGATATCGATTCTGGAAATTTCTAGAATGTTATGCATGTTTATTAAAGAAAGAAAAAAATATATAGCCCACAAGTGATAAGTATGTATAATTCATTATCATGCTAACCGAAAAACAATTCAATTTAATTATCCAAAACACTAATAAGTTACATCGTAACAACGCTTAATACCACATGTCAATGGTTTTATTTTTAAAAAGTACTTACCTTAACAAATTTAAACTAGCACTTAATGATAACAGCATAAACAGTTAATGTGACGACAAAATTAGACTGACCTGCAAAAAGACTCTCCACTGTGGTTGTGGACACACGACGCACCATTTTTGCAAGGATTAGGTGAACATGACACCAAACCTGTTAAAAAAGATGCGCACATTATTTTTCTAAATTCAAGTATTCAACAGAAACATTATATCACAAACAACGTTAAAATCGTAAAACATTATTGTTGCTATACAGGATTTATGTTTTCTAACTCTGTAACATACTTGTTTAATATTTGTGGTACTAGAATTGTTTCTTATGCGTAGGAAGCACTAAATAAAATTACACTCTGAAATTCCTTATATTAAATGTTAGAACATGAAATTAGATTATGTCTGAGTCATTTATTCTTCACAGGTTTTGAAACTTCCATGAAAAAAAAACAACATATATATATACACATATCTGTGTGTGTTCATTAATTGGTACGTTTTCAGCCTAGTACAACAGGTGGATTATACAGCAAGCAGAAGAACGCAGAGCTTGCAACCCCGTGAAACCTGTTTAATTCAACTCGTATAATTTATTTTTGGTATGCCCTTCCTAAAACCTGTTCTGTTCCTTCGTATCAGCACTACGTTAAAGAAGGTCCACCCTTGCCTCTACGGAATGAAGTATAAAGACCTAGGTTGTTCCCCAAAATAACTTTAAACCGCGGGCGTAGGCACTGTTTTCGCCCTTTGTTCTGGTAAATGCACATAACACACACTCACACACAAAAAAGACCGAAAGTGGCTCTAATATTGTTAATTTATTCTGACGTCCACGCTTTAAGAACGAACTTTCAAGTGTTACATTTTCAATCATTATTACATACATTACATCACCAAAGATTTTGTTTAACCAACTAGTTTTTGACTGTCTTACGCATCAAAATGAACAATACACCAAAACTAATTAAAACAATGTATAAATATCACTTTGTATTGAAAACTGGTAATGGAAAACTTTCTTTTTCAGTTTTACATAAATGGTGTTTTGGATTAATTACACAGGTCTGCAAATTTAAACTTCTTAAAACTTGTTTTCGTTTGAATAACTGATTTTCCATAATTCGGCTACGCATATTTCGTAAATAATATCCTTTTTTTTTCTATCACGTAATAATTTTTTATAAATTGGGGGAAAAAACACTTACTTAGATCAAATTATTATTTCGTTTACAACAATGAAATTTTTTTTAGTATTATGTTTGTTAAAAAAATACAAACAAAATGAAGAAAAGGGAAGAACACTGATGACAAACGAATATGCATCCTCATTCATCCTGATTTTGTGTGTGTGTGTGTGTGTGAAATCTACGTCTTTTAGTCTCGAAACTACGTGTTGTGGTCTTTCGTTTATGTACTGCGTCTGGAGCATCTCGTTTCAATGACCAGCAGTAATCAGCCATCATGCTGATGTTCTACCTTCCCTGATACCTCTTCTCTATTTCCTTGATATCTTGTTCTTCGCTTATGACACCGAGATTTTCAGGAAAATAGTCAATATGTGAGTGTAAGAAATGAACATTCAAGCTCATATTACAACCCAATTCTAAATAATGTGTCAATAACATCTTTAAAGGCAACCACGCTTCTTTTTCAACTTTCCTCATTGTCCTTTCGAATTGTTCATCCGAAGTCAATTTCCTAATGTGAGGCCCGACAAAAATCCCTTCTTTCACTTGTGAAAGAGCTGGGAATTGCCCACATAGATACTTGAAACAGTCGCCATCTTTGTCTAGGGCCTTTACAAATTGCTTCATCAAACCCAGTTTTATGTGAAGTGGAGGTAATACGACTTTCTTTTTGTCAACCAAACTTTCACGTTCAATGTTTTTCGATCCTAGTATCAGGCTGACTGTGCGTGGCCATTGCTTCTTTATCCAGTGCTGATTTCGTGCTCTGCTGTCCCATTCATACAAAAATATGGAAACTTTGTATAACCGGATGGTTGACCCAACAACAAACAAAGGACTTTTAAATCTCCACAAAGTAGCCAACCACGTTCTTTGTATTTGACCTTATTAAGAAGAAGTTCAAGTTTTTCGTATGTTTCCTTCAAATGAACCGAATGAGCAATAGGAACAGATGCAATATATGTTACCATTGTGAAAGAGAACACCTTTTAGACTTCTTTTGGAGAAATAATGAACAATCGCCACTCACTTTGTTCACAGACTGCAGCTCCTAGCATTGGTATTAATTCAGCAATATTGTTGCAACAAATCAGTGAACCTTCTTGAGAAGAGTATGGTAGAATCTTTCTCACGATTTATGTACCAGTAAATGATGTTCCTGGAAAAGTAAGTTCTTAGCCCGAAGTCTGGACCCCAAAATCTTTGAATAGTCCTTTGGAAGGCCCAAATCTCTCACCAAATAATTAAGTTCACTTTATGTGAAAAGTTGTGGTTCACCAGACGTTTAAGGTTAAAAACAATCCCTATCATCATTTCTATTGACATCAGATTCAGATGAAACTGTAGCAAGAGTCTCCGGTGGAGTAGGTACAGGTACATCAGGTCCATGAACAACA